AATAATATACTCTGAAAAAATTCTTAACAAATTATCTTTCTGTCTTAAAAAATAATGTTGGTGCCCAGTAATTATGACTTTTGCCCTAGCATTTATCTCTCTAGTAAAGCTGGAGAAAAAAAAAGTCAACAAATCACGTAACATGTTTGCTACCTAATAGAAAATAGTTGAATGCTTACCCTGTGTTTTGTGGAGAGTGTTCCCTTGGCTTAACCAATAAAAAGAAAAGAAGTAGCCATTAAAGGACTCTAAAAATAGTGTCTTACTGGCTCCTGTACAATGCCAGACTTCTTTCTTGTCTTGACTTAATCACGTTTTTACAAGAAGCATGGCTTTGTTATATTAAAATAGTGAAACATGTAGATGATCTGTAAGGACTTTCTTTGTGGAGGAGTATATAGTATTCTTCTGTTCTCCAGGGAATTATTTTCAAATTATTTCTCTTCTTTTTCTATCATACTAAGTTCATATATCACATTTTAGAAATAGTAATTCTTCCTAGCAGCATTCTGGAATTTCTCTGCAATATTTTACAAAACCAAAAGTACTGATTCAGGTATGCTTGTACTGCCTGTTTTAGTAGCTGAAGCTTCTCCACAGACCTAAAAAAAAAAAAAGTAATGTTTTAAATATGTTGTTGTGGAATGTTTTGTCATTTGAGTAGACAAGTTTTTACCTTGAATTTATGTCGGACAGCATGTGGATGCAAAAGGCAGTAAATTAAAATGCACAAATTGTAATAAATAATGTTTAAATTTAATAGTTAAATAAGAAATAAAATAATTTAAAACATACTGGATGCCCAAAGGGAAGAAGTTTAAAAATGTCTGCTGTATTTACAACTAAGGTTATACATACATGTACATATGGGCATATAGCTATACACTTGTGTGTGTGTAAGAGCATTTATGTGTATATTTGTAAGGCAATATCTGCAGGCGGTAAGTTGGGCATATCTGCTAAAACAGTACATATTGATATTTTAGGACTGGTTTATTTCAGCTTATTGCTTCTCTCTCTTTTGTAATACATTGTTGGAAGAAAATCAAGTTTTTCTGCTTGATTTGGTGTCTTTATTGAATCAGTAAGCAGAAAATATTTTATGCACCAGCAGAAAGAGTTACTAATTCCAAAAGCTGCTGTAACGCCTCCATCAGCTCTGATTCCTTGTGCTTTGCCAGCAAAATACATCATAGAAAGGATTGGCTGGAAAGAGCATGGCTGACACATTCAAAAAGAGAATGACTAGGTCATTCTACCACTGTGTTTTGCTTGGTCTTAAATATTTCTTTCAGTAGAGATTCTATATCCTCCTCCTGCTTTCTCCTGTTTCCTTATCCATGCTACTAGAATTTTTTTTTTTTTTTTTTACATTAACTTATTTTGGTTTTCCTCAGTCTCTTCTAGAATCAACAATTACAGTATATTTGGGTTTTCATACATGTTCTTCTTGACCTTTGATCATACTTTTTTCCTCTCCTTTGGACACTGTCCCAGTAGGTATTGCGGTGAGGTGCTGAAATGAAACAAAACTCCAGCTGAGGCCTTGCCCAAAGCGAAGGATAGCAGAAAGATTACCTTTCATTCATAATGGATTATACTGCATTTATGCATCCCATTATAATGATGACTTTTTATGCAACAACGTGTTGTTGTTATGTTCAGTTTATGATCCAGTCTGATCCCAGATGACTTTCCGAAGAACTGTTCCCTAATCAGTTGTTCCCCATTCTCTGTGGGTTCAGATAATTGTTCCTGCTGCAACAAAGAGCCTCTGACCTTATTCAAATTCTTCATGTCATGTCTCCAAGTTGGCAGTATTGTTTTGAATTGAAGTCTTGTTCTCTTGATACAGTTTTAATTTGCTTAGCTTTATGCCTCTGCAAATTTAATAAGTGTATACTCCATTCTACTGTCTGAGTTGTTAATGAAAGTATTAAATAGCGTCAGATTCAGGACAAACCCCTGTGGAACACAACTCGGTGTGTCCTCCTCTTTTGGTATATAACTACTCCAAGTTCAGCTTTTCAAACAGCTTCACATCCATATGGTGCTTGTTTCTTCTAACCCATTTATTCATGGGTAGCTTTTGAGAATGTGTCCTGGTTTCAGCTGGGATAGAGTTAACTGTCTTCCTAGTAGCTGGTACAGTGCTATGTTTTGAGTTCAGGATGTGAAGAATGTCGATAACACACTGATGTTTTCAGTTGTTGCTCAGTAGTGTTTAGACTAGAGTCAAGGATTTTTCAGCTTCTCATGCCCAGCCAGGGCACCTGACCCAAACTGCCCAACGGTGTATTCCATACCATGGGACGTCCCATCTAGTTTAGGAACTGGGAAGGGGGGGGCAGGGATTCGCCGCTCGGGGACTGGCTGGGTGTCAGTCGGCGGGTGGTGAGCAATTGCCCTGCGCATCATTTGTACATTCCAATCCTTTTATTACTACTGTTGTCATTTCATTAGTGTTATCATTATCATTATTAGTTTCTTCTTTTCTGTTCTATTAAACCGTTCTTATCTCAACCCAGGAGTTTTACTTCTTTTCCTGATTTTCTCCCCCATCCCACTGGATGGGGGGGAGTGAGTGAGCGGCTGCGTGGTGCTTAGTTGCTGGCTGGGGTTAAACCACGACACTTCTGAAAAAAATGGTTTGACCTTTCTTGATTTAGTGATGTATCAGTCCATTGGTATGATACTGCCACTGCAGTTCTGAGCAAGTATTTGTATCTCTGACATACAGGACACAACTGGATTTTTTTTGTTGTTGTTCAGTTGTTCTTTGTTAGTTTTTTTGTGGTTTTGTTTTTTCCTTGGCCTGTTCTTTTTGAAGGAATGGTTCTTTTTACAGTAAGGCTAGAGGATGGTGATTAGATGGATTTTCAGTATAATCTCTTGTGGTGCCAGGTGCCCACCAAAGCCGTTCTATCACTCCCCCCCCTCCTCAGCTGGACAGGGGAGAGAAAATACAACAAAGGGCTTGTGGGTCGAGGTAAGGACAGGAGAGATCACTCACCAGTTACCATCATGGGCAAAACAGACTCAGCTTGGGGAAAGTTAACTCAATTTATTACAAATCAACCAGAGTAGGGTAATGAGAAATAAAACCAAATCTCAAAACACCTTCCCTCCACCCCTCCCTTCTTCCCAGGCACAACTTCACTCCCAGATTCTCTACCAACCCCCCCAGCGGCACAGGGGAACGGGGAATGGGGTTTACGGACAGTTCATCACATGTTATTTCTGCCGCTTCATCATCCTTAGGGGCAGGACTCATCACGCTCTTGATCTTTCATCATTCAGAAGCTGCTTTCTCAGAGAGTGCAAATTAGAGTTACAGCTTAGAAGACTACTGATTACAGCTGTGATAGGGATTTTGCCACAAATTTATGAAACCTGTCTGTCCTGACCAACGGACAGCAGTTCAGCTAGTAAAATATAAATGGAAACAGTATATATGGCTGCATTTCTGTAAGTTTTCTATAAGTTATAAAAAATAATTTTATAACATCTAGAATAGTTTTAAGCAGAGGGGGAAAAAAGCCCTGATATTTAGATGTCAAATACACGGCAGTGTTGGAAACAAGGAAAACATAGAATATTACTTCTAATTAGTTTGCCTTACTGTTCACTAGCTAATCCATGCTTGTGTACTAGCTGGCCAGTAAGCAGAAACTGACTTTCAAGCCATATGAAACGTGCTGCTTTTTTCACGTGCGACCAGTCACATGGGATGAGAAAGAATAGATTTTGGTGTAATACTCAGGGACCTTAGAGTAGGCTTAAAAGTTTGTGGAGGAGATCTGGGAGACCTGTGCTGATGGTACATTGAAGATGCAGGAAGAAACTGATGGGTTTGTACGTGGTGAGAGGTGATGAGATGGGATGATGTGAATTGGTTGTAGGCATTCCTGTGGCAGGGATTACAGCAGACACAGGGAATATTTGGTGTTACTGCAGTGACGTGTGTGAGATCTCTCTAAGGGTATCAGGCTGGCTTTGGAAACTGAAGATCCCTTCTTTTTCCTTGTATTACTGCATTAATATAGTTGCATTATACATACCTTGAACAAGTGGGGAAATCTTCACATATATTAAAAAAATCTAAATTAAAATGAGGTTATGAGTTCAGTTTTCTTTCCTTTTTTTAAAAGCAGACATGGTAGGCTGTAATGATTATCATCAGGAAACCCAGGATGAACATAGGATAAGCTGCTGTAGCAAAGTTTTATTATCCTGTCATCTATGGCTGTGGAAAGACTGTTAAATACCTTTATACAGTATGCTTTTCTGGTGGTTATCTACAGTGTGCTAATATTTTACTGACAGGCCTCCATTTTTATTAATTTAGTAACAAAAAGATATATTAATCCTATTAGAAAATATTAAATGCATAATGTATTATCTAAAATAGAAATAAACAATGGGAACAGGTTTTAATAAATCTTATAATTGACTTGATATTAAAAATGTGTGTTATTTTCCAGTATTATTATTTAGTCTGGTTTGAATTCACAGATTTCATAGTTACAGCTACTTTGAAAATGAAGCTCAGTATTTAGGATAATAAAAACATACATTTAAGTAAAATAAGTTTCAATTTTTTGTAGTTCTTTAAACATTTGAGCTATTCCTTTATCTTACTTGTTTTCCTGTTTTTAGAATTGAAATATGCTTCAGTGGAGTAAGTACTGAGGGTAATGATATATTTTTCTAGTTGTATTTTCTCCTTATCTGCTCAGTATTTCACTTATGTACGAGATGATAGGCTATATTGCTTTTTCTACATCTTTTACTAGTCAAAAAATATTTTAAAAAACCTCTCAACTTTATAGAAGTGGCATTTTTATCACTGATAGTTATTGTACTTTTTACTTTTTCCATGAAAATCAGTGTTGCAGAAAAGCTTCTGTGGAGATGGTGAGTGGGAAGAAGGTCTAAGATGTGTACTTGTAGATTTTATGTCGGGGATTTCTTAACTGACAGTTTGTCTTGTTTCTCAGCCATATTATGTCTGAGTATGTGAGGATGACAGATACAGAGCGTGATCAGATAGATCAAGATGCTCAGATATTTATGAGGACATGTGCCGATGCCATTCATCAGCTGAGAACAGAAGGTAAACTGAGCAACTCTTAAATGTTTTTTCTTAGTTATTGATAAAGGTTAATATAATGCTGAATATTGGATGGTGAATCTGAAATGCTTTTGGAAAGAGATTTGGTGAAGTCTCATTGCCTTTTTGTTTGCATCTGTGTAATCCTATTGACTGATTAGTACTGTACTTAATTTTCTTTAATGTTAGTGGAAGGAGAAACCAGAGCATAGAATTTTATTTATTTGTTCAAATACGCTAATTAGCAAGTGTAAAAAAGATAGTCTTAAATATTTATCACTCGAATAGTAATTTAGCACTGTGGCACAGAGGCCTGAACTATAGCTCACTAAATTCAATGGTTGTGTCTGTCTTACTTGTCCATCTGTAAGGTATTACAAATACAATCTTTCCAAGTTTGAGAAAATTAAATAACTTTAACAGAGTCCTGGTAAAGTAAGAGGATTTTTGACAACTTGAGTAGGGGATCATACCTTTACAACACTATCTTATGAAAGTTCTAGAGAGAACTTCTCTTTTGCCATTTTCAAGTTGACTTTCTGTATGTGTGTGTTTTATCAATATACCAAAGATTTTCATCAGCTTTGAAATGCCATCTAAACATAGCTGTAGCATTATTCAGAATCATTGCAAGTCAGTCATGCATGGGCACTACGTAGTATCAAAATAAGAAATATTGATAAATGTGAATTAAAAGTATGTTCGACATAATAAATCCCAAAGATTTCCACATAGTCTATACACTGGAGAATTTAAAATGTTAAGTTAAATATTTTAAGGAAGTTAAACCTCTAGATCTGTGTTGCTGTGCTTAGCTTGGTGACATCTATTCTTGTTTAGAAATTTAATTGACATAATATGACTCAGTGGCATATATAACAAATCAATAACATAAATATTGTAAGACACTAGCTGTTTTCAGCTTCTGCTTTGTTGTAATTATTTGCTGTTTTACAGAACCTATATTTAAATATAGCTGTGTTTAAAATAAATAGTAATATATAAAATCTTAATAGGCTCTTGAATATAACTTGCCTATCAACTGAAAATGCAAACTTTTGTGCAATTCAGTAAAAATTTAAAAGATTGTGTTATATCTTTCTTATGTATTTCAGCACACAAGGGTGTCCAGTCTGCTCAGGTAAAGGAGCACAGAACAGCTGTCTTGGACTTCATTGAAGATTACTTAAAAAGTACTTGGTATTTATTGAATGGTTAAAAATGAATGATTGTATTTTCCAAGAGAGAAATAATGCTCTTCTAACCTGAAATTTTGTTTACTGCTATCTTGAACAGGAGTGTGTAAGCTGTATTCTGAACAAAGAGCCATACGAGTTAAGCGAGTGATAGATAAGAAGAGACTGTGAGTAGTGTCAAAATATAGTTTAACTGTGCCTTTCATTTGTAGGACATTCAACAAAACTATTATTCATGTTTAGATTCTAAGGAGATTGTTTTAATGGAAATCTGTAGTTGGATGAGCAACTTTTGCTGTCAACAGGTACGTGCCAGGGCTCTCTTACACTTCTGGCATGTGAAGTTAAATCTGTAAATGGCAGAGTGCCAATATAGTGTTGTGCTTCTCATTTATGTAAATGATTAAAGCACCGAATCAGTACAATGTGGGTTAATAAACCTATTGGACTTCTACAAATGCAACAAAATATCTTTGTGTGTCCCATTAAGTAATATTCTGCATAAAATAATTTAGAATGAAATCTTGCACATTGGTAATATGTCTCAAAGATGCTATGTAGGATACCATCTGTTTAGGTACAAGAGATGTTCACTTCTCTTTCCCGGTCTCTTTTTGTCTTTTTTTTTTTTTTTTTTTTTGGGGGTTTTTTTTTTTTTTTTTTTAAGCCACTATCTTTCTGCTGAAGCAAGTGATTATGTTGTGAATAAATGCTACTTGAGATGGCAGGTCTTCATGGCAAGTAGAAACATGATTAAAATAAAAATCTTGAAAGTAACTTCTTAACTGAAACAAAACACACTCCCTGGTGTAAGAATGACAGGGAGAATGAACAGGTTTGCAATTTATTTAATACCTGAAAGGCTTTCCATGTCTTCTCAGTCTGCATTATTTGAATTTTAACCTTAAGTTCCATTATGTACGTTTTAATTTAAAAATAACAAATTCTAGAACATACACATCAATAAATAAATTCTTGAGTGTTTTTCCAAGAGTTGATGCTGCTTTATCAGTTTGGTGTTTGGCTCAATCAGCTATTTAATTGAAACTAGAGAGATGTTTTCAGAAGTCCGTAAGTACATTTTATTCAGAGTGACTCAGCATGATTAAGCACAATTAGATTCACTCAAATATATCCTCCTAAAACATAAATAATAGTACAAACCAAAACCCAGTAAACAAAGTACCCCAAACCAGTTGTGAAATTTGGTAAGAAGTAATGAGAGAAAAGTAAGGCATTGGTATTTTTGTAACTGCCGCAACTGTTCAGAAAAAACATACAGAAACAAACTGTGTGATATTTTTCATGTGTAAAAATACATAACCTTATCAGTATTCTTCACACTAAAGAACTTCAAAGAAAGACAGCATGGTTCCTACAGTTATAGAATTGGCTAACAAATACCACCTCTTCGGTTTGTGGTACTCTTATATTATTGTTTCCATGTGAAACCCCAGGTTCAAGATTTCTCAGATGACTGCACAGAGAAAACAACTCAATTTGATGTATGCTAAACATGGAGCAATGAAAGAGCTATTTCAGAAGTTAAGAGTACAAATAAAGAGCAATAAGGCATTAAAAAATAATCAGGAAGATGCAGTCCTTTTATGTAATATTGGAGGATACTGGAGATTGCCTCTTTTTATGGATGTAAGAACTAGAAAACAGATGTTGCCCAGGTGGAGTCTGTATGCATTGCAGATGTGATGTAATGGCTAAATTGTCATTTAAATTAAAATTGCATTTAAATAAATCACAGGGCATAAACCAATCTTTATGATGACTTGAAGAAAAAGTCTCTTTTTTCATATGCCTTCAACTAGTTGATTTGTAATTTCCCCAAGGATTTCAGCAGGCGCTTTATGTGATAAGAAGAACATGTTTCATCGCTTAAAAGAACGAGGCGTTCTTTAAATAGTACATCCCAGGCATCTTGTTCATTTTTAATTGAAAACTTCATACATTAGCCTACTGTTCAAAGTAAGGACAACAAACAATAAAGGAATACATTTCTTTAAAAGTAAATTAATCCTAGTGCAGTTCTTCTTTCCTGCAATTTAGTCAACTTAAAACAGGAACGTATCAGACAATACTGAAAAGTTTGCAGTAAAAATATACGTCTTTTATATTGATAAGCTTCCTAAGCTCTTCAATAAATTGCTTCAGTGTTATAATTTTCTTACATAAGTTGCCTTTATGTATTAACTTATATTATTTGATTAAAAATTTCTGCCAATTACATAGGACTAGTTCCCCAGAATGAAAAGTTGAGAAATAGAAGCACAAGCAGCTTTTTCTGTAAACGTACCTGGTTGTGATTTTCAGTTTTTATGTTTATTGGTATTCAAAATTATATTTAATTTCAATTTTAAACTTCTTTTTCCATTAGAGTATCTTGTGAATTATGTATGCAATTATTAAAATTAAGCTGATATTTTTATTATCTGGGGAATTGGTGTTTTATTAGTATCAGACCTAGTTATTTGAACTGCAAGGACATCCAGGTAAGTCTTTTCTTCCTCATTATTAGGCAGGTTTGGGACTTGAGAGGGAGGAGATGAGAGAAAAAGAGTTCTTATTTGCAAAATTACCGAAAGCCCAGTACTTGCAGGGGTTTTAGAACTACGAAAAGTTCCCTGTTACTGGTTTTTTCCTGTTCAAATAATATAGTCACTCAGTGATGACTAATGCATTATATTCTGTTTTTCTCAGAATTTCTAATTATGGGTTAGGATTTAGACACAATACAAAGAAGGAAAGGAACACAAAATACAACACCTTCTGTTAAGCAACAGGGGAAGATTGCAGATCATAATGAGATTAACTGTTGATTATATTTGAGAGGGGAGGAAGTGATGAAGGTGGCATAGGAGGTGATTCAGCCCATTGCTTTTTGGTTTTTTGTTCTTTAGCTTCTCTAACAGCATAATTGCTAAGCATTTAACTGTCTAGTATGTAGCAGTTACAGAATTAATTGTAGACAACAATAAACCACAGAAGTTTACTGGAAAAAATATGTTGCCACCACTTTTAAACTTTTTTTGGTGCCACAGTGAAACATGCTTGACAAGCCCTTAATATATAATCAATGAACATGCTTCTCATTTGTTGCATTGCCTTTGTATTAAAATTACATAGCAGGGACTTAGATGTAGTATATATCTGTCCACTGCATACGTTTTTTCTTTTCCTTCTAAATGGTCTGTTATGTCTTTTGGCACACAAAGTAAGGATCACGCTCATTATCATTAAACTATTCTTTAAAGCTAGTTAATAAAAATACTTGTTTCGGGAAAAACTAATTCTGTTGTATTTTCTTACTTTTCCTTTATGGTAATTGACAATATAAAGTAAAATTGTAATTATTACTTGAAAAAAATAAAGTAGTGGTTGGTGTTGGCTATTGCTACTAAAAAGAATTTTCAGTATGACTAAAATGTCGTTTGTTTGCTTTTTTTAAAATACACATATTGTAATACACTGGATTTTTGAAAGGAAGTTTAATAAAATGTCTTGTATTTCTATGCTATAGCCTTCAAAATTCTCCTCAACTCTGAACATGTAATGTGTTATGTTGAGGAATACTGTTCATGCTTTCTTTGCTTTTGTAACAATATTTCAGTGAAAGTTGCTAACTACATTTTGTATCTTGACTGGGAAATCTTTAATATGAAGCTTGCAAGAGTTTAAGTGTCAAATTTAATAATCTCTGGTTGTTCTCATTTTAGAGAAATTCAACTGTGTAATATCAGTTAAATTATAGGCTCTTGTGCTTCTAGGTCCAGACTTGAGCCTGAGCAGAGCAATGTGTCCAAATCGCCTCTTTCCCCTGAAAAATCTTCACAGAATCCTTTAGATGATTCTGAAGAAAAACTTTCTGCTGAGGAAAGCAAAGGTAAGAATAAAACATAGTTACATTTCACTTTTGTGGCAAGGCCTGTCTGTTAAATAGTACTTTCTTCACATTACAAGGGCCTGTTCCTGTGACTTGCACCTTTTCTATTTTCATTTTCCCTGAGTTGATCAGGCTTTTGTGAAGCACGTTGTGAGACTGAGGAAGCAAAATCTTAAACTTTTTGACATGCTTTTTCCAACCAGCTAAAAAAGTCTTATGACTTGCTGGATTCCTCATCCTCTCAATAAACTCTGGGTGAACTCTTTTATTTATTTTTATCAATATCCATCTACTTATTTTGAGATCTGTCTGATTTTTTTCACATTCCTTTCACTGATGGCAAGGAATTGGAAAGTAGCTCAATGACTTTCCGGGAACATTTTCTAGTTTTTTAAGTACAGAGACCTTGAGTTGGACACTCCTACAGTAGGAAGTTGAAGGTAGAATATGCTCATAGAGGGGAGGTTACTGGCTGGCCAGATCCAGTAGTTTTGGGGATGTTCTCCACAGCATTGAGTTTACCTGCTAGAAGGATTACATCTCATCTTTCAGTGGGCAGGAGACAGGCAGAAGTCTGAAGCAGTATTTCTGACCCCAGGGTCATTTCAGCTGGTGCTGTTCTTGACAGGACTGGTGAACATTGCTTCTGAGGGCAGGGGATGCAAGTCCCTTCCCTTAGCTGTTTCGGTCTGTCCTGGGATGTGTACGCTGGCAGAACTTTGTTGCAGAGTGCCTTTCAGAGTACCACCACTATGCAGATAATTTCAGGTTTCACACCTAAAGAGAAGTCTCATTTCTGTGATTCTGGAGTTGTTTTCCCTGGCTTGAATTCTCCTGCTTGTGCTGTCTACAGGAGTCCAAGGCACCCTGTGATTTACAGTGTGAACTTTTTTTTTTTTTTTTTTTTTTTTTTTTTTTTTTTTTTTTTGGAGAGAAAGCGAAACTGTATGAAAGGTGACATTACGTTAGGATAATACTTCATCAAGATAGAAGAAATGCACTGGATGGCCATATTATTCTGATGATCAGTTGTTGTTTCTTTGGTGATTATTAAAAGAGTAAAGTTCCTCTGGTTGGTGACTGTAGGGCCATACAAAGGGTGGATTCATGTGAAGTGGATGCTCCATTTCTGGATGAAGACTAATACTGAATTACCTCACAGTGCGAACAGTTTCATTTTCTGATACGGCATTGCTTATCTTCCTAACCAGTTTGTACTTCTGCAGGCCCTATCAGTATGCTCCCCCCTGCCCCCAACACTGAATTTATTGTAAGAAGTAAAGGCTTTGATTATGTGTCGTTTCTAGTGCTTACTATGTTTTTATAGTATGTCTTAAGTGATGCAGCACGTAGGCACGTAGATGAGTTTCACCTTAACACGTTATCAGTGTTTTGCAGCTGTGGGCTAGTGCCGGCAGAGAAGCGGCAGCGTAGTAGCATCTTCATTGCCCTGTGCTCTTTCCTTGTTACTGAATGTCTCCGCAATCTCTGAAAGTGTGCACTCCCGCCACATAGTGTCATTACAATTTTTAGCTCCAAAAATCTGTGCTACGCTGTGGAAAATGCTCTTCTTTGCCTTGGACACAGCAAACCAGTGCAGTAAACAGAAATGAAGCTTTGTTTATTGCACATTCATTTTGATTACTCCAGTTTTCACTTTTATTAGTTTATGCTTTAATTTTTTTCAAGAAAGTAGGGTTCCTGTCACGTAAGTGATGCTGATGCCATACTTACGAGGGATTGCTGACTAGTCTTTGAGAAAACTATGGAACTTGTGTATCAAAATAAATCTGTCTGAAGCAGTTTGTAAATGCACACAGCCTGTGATTCCTCACATAAGGGTAAGTGTTGGTTGCTGCTGCTTATAGAAGTCAGCCTTGTGACTTTTCTGGTAGGTGGTTGTCAAAGCATGGAAATAGCGTGAACAAGATGACTAGGAAACAAGAAGCTCAGTTTAAATCTTATAGCCTTTCGGTTTTTTGTTGGTTTAGGGTTTGTTTTTTTTTTTCAAGTAACTTTTCAGATTTTTAAGAAACTGGAGAAATTAACCGCATTTAGAAAGAAACTATTTCATCCTCAGGATGTTGGTGGTTTAGAGAATGGTGATCATTCGTCTTTATGAATTAGCCATCATCAGCATGCCTGGGTCCCTTGCATTAAATATCTCAGCTGTAAAGATAGTTCTTCCGAGAGCAGCTTGTGGTCCTGTTCTTAAATTGAATATTATGATGAGCAGCTGAATGTCCTGCTTGGCGTGCTGAAGCACAGCTTGGGTTTTGTCTTTCTTTTTGGCAGAAACCAAAGCAAAATGTTATTACATTTGTTTTGAGGCAAAGCACCTGTTTACATTAGAATTATACTGGACATGCCTCATGGTAGGAAAATAGTCTCTCTGGAGACTGCTTTTATATGCTGACAGTATTTATCTGCATATTACAAATTGGCATTTAGTTTATGGAAATAAATGTAAATAATGAGTAGCTTTTGAACTGGTCCACAAGCCTAGCAGCTGTCTCCTTTCAGCATGGAAAAGGGTTCAGAGCATTTGATCATTACTTTGTATCTCCGTCATGCCTTAACTACTTCTCTTTCTGCAAAAGAAGAGTAGTTTGGCTTTTGCTGGGTGACTTGTAGAAAAGCATTAATGTCAGGTCCATGAAAGCTGCAGAACAACTTTCCCAGTAGCCAGAAGTGTACCACAGTGATAGGAGGAACCCTAGGGAGATACATGTTTCTTGCTTACCTCTTACCGTAAGTGTATTTGCTTATTAGCAATCACATTGGATACAGGTGCTGTTTTTTTAACAGTGCTGACAGTGCCTGAAAGTAATTGGTTCCTGTGGGATAAAATAGGAATATATCTTTTTTTTTTTTTTTTGCCTTGGCTCCATAAACTAATTATCTTCTTTTCTTTGAATCCAGTAAATAATTCATTATAATTTTGATATAATGTAAATACATTGATTACCTAAACAAATAAGTTTTGTGTTTCTGTGAAATAGACTTTAAATACTGAAGATACCCCATGGAAAACATAGAGATGAATCCTTTCTAAACAATTTTAAAAGATATTCTTGTTTTTATTTGTTATTACTTGTAAGAAAGAACAGATCTATTTTTGGTTGTGGTTTGGTTTTTGTGTTGGGTTTTTTTTTTGTTTTGTTTTGTTTTTTTATTTACTATATTCCTTATCCACATCCCTCATTTATAACATTGTCATTGTTTTTACATCCTGGTTTAGTTGTTGGGAAGCAAAATAACATTTATAAAGGAGACATACACAACAATGCTCTTTTATAATACTTATTTGTCAATAGTTTTCACAAATATTATAGTGAAGGATGAAAGTAAAAATTTCTCCTTATAATCCTTTTCATATATTTGTTTATAAATAGGACTACTCCATTCAGAGGCTTCCCAAGTCAGTATCTGAGTGATGGTGCATCCGTGCTGCTTATGCATTTGAAAAAAATTAGGTTTAGAAGGTTATAACAAAAGAAATGAAAATACTTATAAATGCCTTTTAAAAAATGACTGGGTTAAATAGGAAGTCTGAAATCTATGAAAAAGTAAAAACTTTCTATATTTTAATTTGCAGCCTGCATCTGGTAAGTTAAAGCAGGTTCAGCTGTGATCTGTTTTGGGGTGGTGCAAATCTCTCTTTTGGGTTTTGTAAAAATGCCACAGCCAGTAGGGAAAAGAGAGGCCCACTCAAGAGTGCAGTCTTATCATTGGGATTTTAAACACTGATGCTAGAACAGCTTCAGAAACAGTAGGTTCCTGTTTCTTTTCTTTAGTTTCTTTTCTTTCCTATGCTAACTTCTGCGTCTATAATCAGAAGTATATAATTAAGCCTAAAAATAAATCTTCCAGAAGGAAATATCCCAGAAATAGCCATTCAAGATCTTTTATGCCCAGCTCCTGCTAAGATTTATGCAGATTAGCTTTAATCAAAGGGGAAGTGCTATTGAAATCAGTGAAGCAGCCATGATGTGTAAGGGTTAGTTTGTGGGATCAGATCTGATTCCTGTTGTATGCAGGAAGACCCCTTGCACAGTGTGCTGTAGGATTTGCACTGTAATATGCAGTTTGAACAACAGCGTGAGGAAATTGAGCTCATCCTGTGAACTTTGCTCAAAATGTCTTTGAGATTCTGTTTTTAGTCTTTGGAATGAGGAGCTGGTAGTTCTGTCAAGTCTCATTGGAAGATAATAGCTTTGCATATAGACTGTTATTTTGAAAACTCTGTGTTATCTTCTGTTAAAAGACAAATGCTACAGTATTTTGTGCCCTAACAAGTCTTAGTGCATTGCAAGTTGGTTTACATCCTTCACTGTAAATATAGAAGTGCAGCTCCTCATAGTTCACAAAATTAAACTCATGCGTAGACTTGTTCCAGTTTAGAAGTTAAATGTTATTGGTGTAATTTTGTGCTGTAAATACAGGGTGAATCTCAGTTAATGATAATGAGATATAACAATTTCATCAGCATTCTGAAATGGATGAAGAATGATTTTCACTCTACTATTCAGTGTCCTGCATTGTCTCAAGTGTTTGGTGGTTCTTTTACAGACAGGAATCTGCCTGATGCCCAAAGTAACCTTGGATTATGGGGGGACGGCAAAGGTGAAGATGAGCTGTCACCTGAAGAAATACAGATGGTAAGTATATATTGTGTCTTATTGTCCATTTTATTATATTTTCTGCTGTATTCATACGTGTTAAAGTACAGATTCACCTGAACTCATTTTCAACTTTCATTTTATGCAGAATAATGCCATAACAAGATACACCTTTTGTATATGGCTTCCTGGTTCTTCTGGTAGCAGCTAATATTTAAAAGTGCTACAAAATACATACATGGAGGCATGAAATTAGTAACTACTATTTTTCAACGATTGAAATTAGAATTGTTTTTAAAATTGCCATTATGAGTTCCTTTCTTAGTCAAGAAACAATAGAAGTCAAGTCAACATCAGAAGAAGCATTATGAAACTTCTGAAAGAATAAAGTGTTGGCCATTTTTTGCTTGGACTATTTTTAGAACACACCTCAAATAGTTATACTGTTTAAGTATAACTATGAAGTTATAATTCATTTTATTCCTTTTTATTTTTTTGGATTATCAAAATCAGATGGGTTTACTAGAAGAAATAGCTACAAGCTTGCTGTTGCAACAGAACCTCATGAATTTTACCTTTTATTCATTTCTCCATTATCAGCACGTTTATGTATTGTTTGATCCAATTCTGCTTACAGTTGAACTGATATACTACAAAATTTCTGACATAGGCATGATTGCTGACAACCTATATGTTAGACTTTTTGATATTCCTAAAATTTGTTGTTTTGGACATGGCTCAAAATTCTTAGAAAATCTCTCCACATTAGCACCCATTGCCTTATTTTATATAAAGAAGGAAAAACTGATTTATAACTAGTCAGTAGATGTGCAGTTTTCAAAATTATGAACTTTACTAAGGCAAAGGGCTGCTGCAGTATGAATATGTGAAGCTTCCTTGGCAGTGATTAGAGATCTTCCCAAACACAATATGCATCACTCTTCCCGTCAGCGATGAGTAAGTTGCACATAATTATGGCGTGGTTTGTCAAAGACAAAAGGTTCTTCAGAGGCTGCTCTTGATGCTCTCATGTTGTCCTTGAGTGCCAGTCTGAAATCTAAAGGCTTACTCCTGCTTTCTTTTTCTTTTTAAAGAGAATTCTTAACGTATTTTCATTCTTCTGTGTTTAGGCACAATATTATTAGCCCCCTTGCTGTAATCTTCCAGAGGATCAGGAGGGAACAAGCATCAGAGGTGATGGCTCTGACAGGGTTTACTAATAACTGACTACTAAATGTTGGATTGCTTTTTGTAGGCCTCACACTGTAATTAAGTTTTACACGTTACATCCCTTGCCATGGTACTTTGGGAATAAATACATTTCTTTTTCATGAAATCCTTTTATGCTTTTTAGAGTAAGGCCCCAGATACCTCACAACTTAGATGAGTTGCTGAAGTCTGTGAGTTTTGTTCTGTTTCTGTTATCGAGTGAAGAAAGATAAACATCTTAAAATGCTGATTTTTGCCCGCCAAGAATTTGAATTTTTCCCTGGAGTAAGTTCTCTTTATTGACTTGTGAGGGGGAGTGATTCCAGGCTTAAGGAAGAGAAAAATTACGTTCATAGTTTAATGCTTTGAAGGATTTCTAGACTCATAAATCTCCAATCCTAAACTGCTGCTTATTAGGCGTTCAGACAGCTCTTCCTAGGGTAGAACCAACAGGCACTTTTTAAAAATCCATTATTATTCTTTACCCATTCAGAGCTCTCCTGTGCTATGCTTTTTTTATTATTATATATTTTAAAAACTTTTACTGGTTGTTTTGCACTGATTTACTTCTGTTGTGCTTTCAGGAGTTGCACTTCCTGTGAAAAAGGGTATAAAAATAACACTGATGTTCCAAATTAAATGAACTTTTAGCTCAGACAGACTATAATATGTCCTTATTCTTAGCCTACAGAGTTCTGTCTATAGCTTGCAAGAAAATTTATACCATATAACAGTGCCTTGATGTCAGTGCCATGATTAAGCTTAGAAAAATTACTTCTGCTGGAAACTTCAGATGTCAGCTTTATCAGTCTGCTCCGTGAGAAGAGAGACACAAATTTACTAGTCTGTTTAAAGAAGCAGAAGATCAAAATGCTACCAAAATAAAAATAACATGTAGTCCTATATATATTAATCCACTGAAGCGTTATTACTGCTCTTGTGCCATAGTTTGTTCTTAAATTTCCATGTGTGAATTCACATTTAAAATTTATTTTTATGTGCTCTCAGTACTTGTGTTTTAGTACTGACACTAGGAAACCAGAATTGAAAAAAGCATACAAAGGGAAGTTACCACTAGAATAGCCTCCTCTCTGCTTATAATTTATTCTGAGTTTTGCAGAAATCTGGTTCTAAGGTGGATGTCTGAATCTGCTGTTGAATCTTGCTGTGGCTCTGATCTGACCCAGAGCTGTTCTCCCCTGTTGTAGCTCACTGCAGGCTGACGGTATGACCACCAGCAGTCAGGGCTGGCTGTCTCTCACACTATGAGTCTATGCTTCTGGCACTGTTGTGAAGAAATACAAGCTTACTTTCTACTTCTCCTAAAAATGAACAAGCGTCAGTTACTTCCACATTATGCTTTGGAAGGAGTCTACATTTATTATGATTTAAAAGAAAAGTGAGTCAGCATTCATGGCAGTGTTAATACAGACATTTTTTTCTTTCTCCACCAAGTTGTCAAGTAGAGAGCGAGCTGATTGTTTCTAGTTATAGTTAATGCCCCCCCAGTGAGGGTCATTTCTTGTCAGGTAATTTTTTTACTGTTGGATTGGATTGCATATTATTGGAGTTGTCAAACTGTAAACAGAGTTGTATATTTGTGTAATACATATATGTGCACACTAGAATTTCCGATGTAAATGTTGCCACTAACACGTTGATGCTCAGAGCTGAGGAAGCCATCGGTCTGTTCTGTGGACCTAGCACGATTTTTTTTCTTCTTTTTTTAGGGTTGGGGGTGGGGTTCTGAACACTATAATTAAATAATTTACAAAGGCTAGGGATGTATGTGGCGACTATTCCACAGCAAAACTGCTCTTTCAGTGTATTTTTGAGGCAATTTATAGCTAAGAGTTGGCCTTTATTAGTAAAAGTTGGATATTATATAATTGTACTCTTAATGGACTTTAAAGTCATGGGATCCGTTATTCTAATCTTCAGGTAAATTTGGGTTCAAGGTGCAAATATAGGTGTAACTAGCAAATAATTTGAGTATTTGAATGTGCATTCCTTTTTTCATTGCATAAATCCTTCATACTAACTTAGCAATATTTAATGACTTCATTGTGCTTTTAATGCAGGAATCAAAGCATCTTTACAAACATGTAACAAACCCTCACCCTTTAGTTAATTTATTCACTCAAAGGACAGTTAATTATTTCTCCTCTGCATTGTTTGCTGTTACAGAGAAGTTAATTTCTACTTTTTTAACATTTGATTTGTGAAGAGTGGACCAACTGCATTTAAGTTACTCAGAAAATCCAGCAGTTGTCAGAAGAGGGTAGGTTACAGTGTAGAAACTGCTGTGTTGGTTTTAAATTGGAATGTGTTGTGTCAAATCATACTTAACAATTCTCAATCATGGTTCCATGATCCTTCCTGGGGGTAAAATAATGAATTAAAGCCCTATCATATTGCTACAGCAGCAATTTTTATCAGTATTTTACCCACAGGAGAGAGCTTTACATTGTTCAAAATGGTTGCAGGCTATTGTATGATTTGCACAATAAATTTCAGTTTATAACCCTGAGTACAGGTATATTAATGGGTTTTATAGTTATTGTGAGCAGATGTCTTGTGGTTGCATTGAGTGGGAAAAAATCGGGCTCTGCTGTTTGAATTGTGAAAATACCTAATTTTCCTTGACTGTATCTTTTTTTTTTTTTGGTTGGTTGGTTTTGTCTTAAATTCAGGTACAGTACACATAATGACTTATCTCATGGGATAACAAAAAAGAACTGATCATTTCTTATGCATTAGATCTTTAGACATACCTTAAGCAGTTTGTCACTTTATGCCATACTTTGGTAACAGAATATTTCACTGTCATAAAAGAGGCTACTTTAATAAGCCATAAATCATTGAGCTATGCTGATAGCTAGCATTTGGTTTATGTTCCCCTCATGTAAATCCCTTTGTGACACACTGGCATATGATGTGTTCTGCGCTCTAACCTTTTGTTCAATTGACTGTTTTAGCATATCTTACCGCTGTCTGTGCCAAGCGGTCCATCAGCCATGATTTCAAATTGCAAAAATAATTTAGCAGCTTAAAAGGCAATCTGTGCCAGTGGAGGGTTTTAAATATCAAAGGGACTTTTTAAAGAATACTTTCTCAAGTGGATTTGTGCTATTTGTAAGGGATTAAAATCATTCACTGTTTCTTTATTGAAAATTTGCCTTCTAAATTAGTTATCATCTCAGTTTTACTAAGGCAGCAAAATAGGGAATTTTTGATGTTGAATTTTTGTGCAGAAATACTTATCCTTACAGAAGTCAGAAAAACAATTACAGTTTGCTGGTCCCATCTAGTCACTTAAGGACCAACCAGTCAACTCGGTGCTATATCTCATGGCTCTATTTCATTGCTCTGTTCCTTGGCTTTGTTCTGAGGTGACTCTACTAAAACCAGAGACATACAGTGGTGTGAACGCACAAGTGCAGTGATGAAACACCTTTAACAATCTGCCACTGTAAAGTAAATATAACTGTATTAGTCAATTATATTTTAACAAATGCTCTGCTCTGTAGAAGGAGACACTACAGACAGCGGTGACAATGGCACTTGAATGTATTGCAACACTGATACTTTTTTATTTAACAAAACCATTGGATCTTTAGGGTGGAAATCAGTGGGACTTCAGGGAGCTGTGCAGTATGTTCCTCTGTTTCCCCTGGACCCATGGGGCTGGGCTCCTTTCCCAAGGCCTCCACCCCACAGTGAAGGTGACCGTGCCTGACAGCCCTCCTCCTCATCTGTGATCTTGGACCCTCTGGAGTCCTTTAACCAAGGAGAGAAAGCTGTTCTTACCAATCACGCAGACAGTGAACCTCTAATACAAAAAGAAATTTGTATTTTAAAAGAAATAAAAAATCATTTTTCATTATTTTTCATGACATAAATTGCCTATGTCAGAAGACTGAACCTTTTTCTATGAGATTCACTGTTACCCTTCTTTAAACACACCTGTCATTTCACACTCACTTCTATGAAATTAAATGTACTGCGTTAAAAATCAGAAATTTGTAACCTTTCCCCCTAAGTCATGCAGGTTGACATTTAATTTGCTGTTGGCAGAAAGTCAGGTACTGTTTTTCCAAGTGTCCTGATGGGCTTGAAGCAGGATGAAAAATGTTACAGCACAAAGTGTGGGGGACAGTGGTGATGGTGTGGGGTATGAGAAGGACGGAATGAAGGTGAAGGGTATGAAAGGTAGCTTGCCTCTTTCTTATTTTCTTGCTTTTCTGTTGGGTCTGTGGCAGTGCAGAAGTCTTGCTCAGCTCCTGCTACCCACGCTCCCTTAAGCCAGCCCTATCATCTGGTCCTGTGGTAGGATTCAGTTTACTAACCTACCAGAAAACGCACAAGGAAAAAATGGTTAGTGAGCTAAAATGTCATACCATGAAACCAGACGAGCAGCAAGCAGCACTTGCTTGACTGCATATGTGGGGAGAGAGAGAAGGACAAATTCCTCAGTGGCTGCACTAGATCTTTTTCACTTCACCCTGAGTAGTCCACACACTTTATTTCTTCTCTGTGTTAGTATTATAAAAGTACTTGATAGGGCAGAAGTTTCAGCTTGAACATTCTGTATCATTTCAAGGGATGCGTACATCAGCATTTGAAGCAATGCGCACGAGGAGTTGCACAAGCTGTATAAAGAAGATCTTAGGGATAGGGATGCTGGTGGCATGATTGGGGCAGGGTGGGGGTCACAGGGGTGAGCCAAAGATGGTCACCAAACAGAGCAGTATAATAATGTTAAATTATTACAGACTGGCTCTGTGAAAGAAGCTATGTGTCAGATGAACTGTATGTCATATTATAGCCACTAGTTTTCATGTTGTATTTTAATGACAAACTGCGCCGTTGTTTAAACTACTTTGAAATACTAAGTGCGTGCTTCATTTTCAGCTATTTCAGTAGCACTGCTTTAAAAGCAAAATGCCCATTTGCCTTTCAGTGATGTAACATGACCCTCTGTGTCATAGTAATTCCCTGTGATTCAGTCTTTTCCCCCCCTCCTTCCTTCTTTTGCTTTTTGCACAAGATGATAGTTGTTTTCAAATACTATCTTCTCTGGGCAACACCTCCTTTTCTTGCAAGGTTAAGCTCTGGGCGTACGCTCAGATAGCGAGCAGTTCCTATTGTACCAACTGAAAACCAAGTCTGACCTGTGAGCAGTGCTGCTCTGTTGGCATTTTCATCTTTAACACACCGCTCTGTCTTAAAAAGGAGAACGAGACCTTGCAAGGTGACTGAGGGGACTGCTGTGCTTTTACTGCTAATGAAATTGTAACGTGATTGAATTATGCCAAAATCCCAGTGTGTTATGAAGGCTCGTTCAAAATAAGGAGATTAACTGACCTAGAACAGGCCTTGCTGTCTTGCACAGCTCCTGTGTCAAATTCCTTGCATTCTGAATCCTGTTTTCTGGTATTTGCACTGCTGCATGTATCACTCGGGTTCGTCAGAGGTGTGCAGCAGGTAGTTTTCAGTAGAAATGAATTTCTGTACAACCGCGTAGACCAGGTCTTTTCCAGCTTTGTAAGAAAAGTGCAAAGATCTGGTCAGTCAGCTGTGTCCATACCACAAAGGTCCAGCTGTTACCGGGGCTTTGGCCGTGTAGAATTAACTGGCAGAATACCCTGACTACGCTTCCCCTCCTTCCGCCAGAGCGGGGCTTGTGACCCTTCCAATACAGGGTGCTCTTGCTGTCCCTGATGGCAGGAGCCTTTTGGCTGGGGCTGGGGCAGGCCACGGAGCTCCCCGAGAGCGTGAGCGTACTGCCCGGAGCCCAGTGGCTGTGGGGCGGAGAGCTGCAGGCCCCCTCGGGCTTTTAACCAGCTGTAGCTGGCTGCCAGACTGCAGGATCAAACTCGAGTATTCAGGCACCTTGAAAATCCCAGCTCAGCACGTCCCAAAGGGTTCTTTCTAAAACACAGTCCTTAACGACGCTGTTTCCAACCAGTTCCACTACAACATGGGATACCTTTCTCAGCTGTGTTTTGGCTGTGCAGTTTTTGTGTCAGCAAATCATGTCATTATACTTGCTGCGTGATCACTTGTCCTGTAATGAATCCCAAATGATCCGACAGTCAAGTACATCTGAAAAGTCAAAGCTCATTTTCCTGTATGAAGTATTCTATATATGCTTGTATTTGAAAAATGTAGTGCTGAAAGTATATTTAAACGTTTCATTGACTACTGATGAGTTTTATTTAAAAGAGGTCTGCTGGAATAACTAAAGCCAATGCATTTGTAAAGCATGAAGTACTAGATGTCAAAATATTTCCTATTGTAGCAAAATCTAAAAGCTCTTAACTTCATGCCATGGGCAGTACATGAATAATGTGAAGGACATTGCAAAGATCTCATGAAGAGAATCACATGCTTTCACAAGCATGAAAGCCTTCCCCACTCAAATTTCTAAAATAATAAAAAAGGACAGGTTTAATCCACTATATTTTTCCTTACTGCAAAGTAACTTGAGCAAAATCTTCAAGTTATTTTGGGGTTTGTTTCATTAATGGGAAGAGAATGACAAGTGTTACAATGACTGGTTACAAATAAGCAGATTCATATTGTTTATTTAGGCCAGTATTAGTAATTCTTGGAAGATCTTTTTAGTTGAGACATACCGTAAATATAGTGCAAGGAAGGGTAGAAGTTGGTTGATCAGGGGTGGGGGTTGAAGAAAGTTCTCCAAATCCAAGCATGTGAACTCATGTGTGTCATTTCCTTCTTCCCTTCTTCCAGTTTGAACAGGAGAACCAGAGACTTGTGGGTGAAATGAATAACCTCTTTGATGAAGTCAGGTACAGTTTTCTGTGAGCACACCAGTCCCAGAACCCACACACAGTACATTTGCTGCAGGACACCTGGCTGCCTGAATTGTAGTGGTGTGGTAGAAGGAGGGATGAAATAGGAGCACCCAGGAAACAAAAACTGTATGAGTTTACACATTGTGCTGTCCCACAGTGTAAAGAATGGTTCTGAGTGACACATGGACTATCCAAATAGTGCTGGTTAAATTTGGAAGGTTTATATTCTGTCTCACTTCACTAAGTTTAAAAGATTAGGTCTTCCATTCCTATGACGTTGTCTGCTGCATATACAGACAGCAGGAGGGGAGGTGCAATCACTGACCCCCATGCAGAGACCTCTCTTCACGGCAGAGCGGCGGTGCCGCTTGCTCTCCGCTCGCTGTGCAGAAGACCGGAATGGCTAACTCGAGCGAGAGCTTTACTTTTGGATTATTAGTACTAGGCAAGATGAATTCTGCACTTCATAGTCGCATATAAAATGATATGTCAAAATGAACTACTTAGGGTCCACCATGGATTTTGTTACATTAGGTGTAAGAAGGAAGATCGCTGAAACCCTTGCAGTGAAGGCTAGTATCTGCAAATTTTGGGGTGGTGCCTTTCCCGGAGCTTCACTGTGGGCCGGTTGTCTTCCAACCATGAACTGTCAGAGCACTAATCACAGGCTATTGCTGCATAACAGGCGGCTAACAAAATAGCCGTGCCTTTTGAATAGCCCGCTTACTGGGTTGGAGAATCTGAATCTGCAGGAGCAAGAAATGTTTGCACTAGTTTCTAATGGAGTATTTCTGTTCTTTGCCAAGACAAATTGAAGGAAAAGTGGTGGAAATCTCCAGATTACAAGAGATATTCACTGAAAAAGTCTTGCAACAGGTTAGTATTATTTAATACTAGAGCAGCAAATACAGTTGGAAGATTTTCTTGGGGGTATCTTGGTCTTGGTTGCGTGCAAGATGTAAACATAAGATTAATGAATCTTTGACGCAAATGTGAAGGAAAATTTTTTTTTTCTTCAGATGTGAAATCAAGATATTTACTGTTGTTACTTAACAGTATGTACTGGGAATGGAAAATGCAACGTGTGTTTGTTAGAATGATCCCTCTGCCTCAGAATTAGCGTCCTGTTAAATGTTTTACTTTACTTAACAGCATCTTTTCTGGAAATGGTGGCACCTCTTCCAAAAGAGCTGGCAAAAATTAGACAGGTTAGATTTGATTCTAGATAAATGGGAGACTTCCTATTGATCTTGGTGGTCTCCATTCAGGCTCATAAAATCACAGATAAATTACAACTTAATTGCCTCTGTACCTTTTGCATCATTGAAACTAAGATGTTAGTAGTACCAGATTTTATTTCTGAGTTCTGCTTGTTCCCGAATTCCTTGGAAGTGTTTTTTTTCTAACATACATCACTGTTTCTCAATTTATTTTTAACAGGAAACTGATATTGACAATATCCATCAATTAGTTGTGGGTGCAACAGAGAATATCAAAGAAGGCAACGAAGACATACGAGAGGTAACATTTCTAAGTTGTGTTTTAAACTCACTTGTTTCTCTTAACTTTCAGTTTTGCCCAAGTGTTGCTTTAAACAGCACATGCGAGCTCACCCAGAGTACAGGTGCAGTGTGTGCTGGGGTGTCGGGACACGATTTTGGAAAAATTGTACAAGTTAGTGGAGGTTCTGAATAGTTTGTGTTGCTTGTCTCACTAACCATGATTTGAATAGCTATACAAGTCTGCAGAAATCTACTTGGCCTCACCTGCGTTTTAAACATGAAGGTCACCTGGCATGCATTTAAGCACCTGTGAAGTTTGGTTAAAAAAAATGAAGAGGGGGAGAAATTGCAGACTATGAATGAAAGACAGTGCTGAAATTGTTGGAACTAGAGTTAAATGCTGAGTGTTAGCAGAAGACTCTCTTTACCATACTGAATGCATCTCACATGCTCCTAGTAAACAAATCTATCCCATTGTCTTACTAATTAGAATGAAATTATGTTTTCTTTCAGGACCTGAGATTTCAATAAAAAGAGAGTTCCTAAATTAGGCTACTGAGTAAATGGCTCAGGTTTTTTTTGTTTGTTTTTTTTTTTCTCCCTCCTGAAAGCATACAGAGTATGTAGCTCACCCCTGAGTTACCTTCTGCTCAGCTCTTCTGAAAAGTGCATCAAACATGCATGAACTGATGTTATTTTTGCCACAATTTTCACATTTGTAGGTAAAACTAAGTTTCCTAAACTACACTGAGAAACAGTAGAGAAAGGTGACAAATACAAAACTTTGTCACTCACATTAATGTTTGTATTGCATTAAAAAGTCTATTCCATGTATAAATCTGAAAAATGAGAGAGAAAAACAGGTCCCTTGCTATATGCCAGTCTCAGTTTTGGGAAGGAGAATCCAAGAAAAATACTTCCTGTTCTTGTTCCTTGCTCTGCTTGCTCTGAGACTGAAATAACTGAATGACAGTGCTAAAGCAACTTCCAAAACTAGTTGTCAGGTTTTGGGGGGGGTCGTTTGTAGTCAGAAGAGGTTTATTAGAATGATGAAGGCCTGATTATTTCTTATCACAGAATTTCACTTTTGGAACTTAAAACTAACCTTTATGCATGTATGTTTTGATGTAGTTCTTCATGTTTTAAGTGTATTTCCATTATGTGGGATCTTGGCATTTTTTTGTTGTGTGTGTTCGTTTTGGGTTTTTTTAATGACCAATTTTAAGATTTTGAGAGAAAGAGAAGTATGACAAATCTAAAGAGGTGTAGCCAACCTTACTTTTATTCACTTGAAATTAATGGCAAGTTTTGCTCTCTCTTGTGGGAGGGAGGAGTGAATCCACCAACAGTCATCCTGGGTTGCCACTGTTGAAATTCTACTGTATGTTTACTGGTGATGGTAATGGCGATAACTTTTTCCTCACAGGCCATCAAAAACAATGCTGGATTTAGAGTATGGATCCTATTCTTCCTTGTGATGTGTTCATTTTCCTTGCTTTTCCTGGACTGGTATGATAATTAAAAATATAATATTGTCTACATGCTTTGTTTGTAAAACTTTTTGACATTTTTTTCAATGGAGCAGGGTATATATGGCATACCTGTGTCTTTTATGCATTTTTTTCATACTGCTATGATGGAAATGTTTTCCAGTAAATAAGCATGTGTATATATCCATTAGTGCAGAGGGAGCAGATAGGATTCATTTTAAATCCCTTTATCGAGCATAAACCCACACTTAATCCTGCAAATAACATAGAAACCTTTGAAAGAGCTACTAAGAAAGCTACAAGCTGGAGCAGAGCTAACAGAAGAAAAAAAACGATAATGGTTTTATCATAGTCACCCACACATCTGTCATGTTTAAAGTCCAGCTCCCAGTGTGCAGACCAGATCAAGAGAAAACTGTTCCTGTGCAAAAGCATCTACACTCTCTCAGGCTTTTATTTAATCATACCACTTCAGTACATAGTGATCACTTTGCACATGTATGACCTCTACTTCTAATCCTTTGGAACTACTCGAGTCAGAGATCAGGTTGATTTAATAGTAATAATAATAAATCAGCTAGAGAGCTTTACTTCTAGGTGAAAAGAGAGAATACAACACAAACAGATTCTGCAGTGAAACAGATGTTCTGGGATGTTGGAACAAGGCCAAAGGATAGACAATATTTAAGCTAAACTCTTCAAAGTACTAAAATTGGGAGCAATTTGTTAACTAAAAAAGGTCTCAAAACCAACTGTAGATAAGAATCAATAAACCCCCTCCTGTTAAATTGGAAGAAAAAATGGTTTTGACTTCAAGAAGCATAAGCAATCTGTTTTTCCTAGATTGTAAAGCTTAGTATTTTTTAATGTTTATTGTTATGAGAGAGAGAGAAATAAGTTTTCTCATCAGTATTTACTTGTGCATTAACATTTTTATTGTCCTAAATTTAAGGGGAGGAGATGTATCATGAATCACTTCTATGTAGGACAGTCTTGGGGAACAGATCTTTCCATCTTGTAAAATCTGAATGTCCTGTGTAAATATGTTGATATGAAATGTGTGTTTTGCTATCTCTCTTCTGAAATGTACATTTCTATACATTATATGCAACAAGCAGCATCATCCTCATTCTTTACTTTGCAGAGAGTGAAAATGTCAAAAGTTACATGTGAATTAATGACACTCACTGAAGCATATGCCTATTAGAAAATGCAAACATGGTATGTCTTGAGTATCTTAAGCTTGAAATTTTTAAATGCAAAGAAAAATTTGGCACATAATTTATTGCTTTTTATGCATTCCACATACCATAATGACTTAATAAAAAGCCTTTTACAGATATACTGTGTAATGCACATTTCATATCAAACCTAGAGAATTAACTTATAATGGTTATTTTTACTGTATTGGTAAAAAAGGTTGTTGATAAAGCAGTTCTACTGGAGAAAAATAAAAGTAGAGCTCAACATTTTTGTTCTACTACCGATCTTCAGAAACAGCCCATACCAATGTTTGCCCTTCACTTTTGTATAGTCTCTACCAAAAAAAAAAAAAAAGCAACTTTTGACATGTCCACCACACCTTGTCCCATTCAAGTTACATGAACAAAAATGTGACTTGCTTGCCCAGATGTTTCACACACTTACTTTGTCTGTTAAATTAATGTCTTTTTTGTAATATATATTTAAGATTTATAATAAAAATGAAAACATGGTTTCACACAAAGAATAGATAAGTTTGTAATTACAATGGAACTTTTAACGTGCATCCACAATACTATGTTCTCCTACGTGTTTTCCCCTCCCAAGCCATACCTAAACAGTTCTACTCTTCACTCTGGTTCACATGTAGCTTTGAAACAGCCAGCTGTGTTATCTAATATGCTATTGTTTCACTTGTGATGCTCTGTGTTTTAAAAAGTATCAAACTGCAAACCATACATAAACTGAAAGCTCTAATTAATAAAAAAGGAAAATGTTAATGTAATGAAAGAGAAAATTTAGACATATTACTCCCTCAGTTGTATCCATCAGATTACATAATGGACTACATCTACTATGAATAGGCTTTCTGCCTCAAGTATGATCAAAAGATGTCATTTCTCATTAGAACATCCTGAACTGTATATTTTTTACACTTTCCTCAACATCAATCACTAAAACTGTCTGTGTTTTTCCATAATGTCTATCTAGTTTGTGTTTCAGTGCACATCCTTACCAAGATGCTAAAGCCACAGTGGAAATGCAGTTAAATCCTGTTGACAGCAATAATAAAACATTGAGCATGCCTTGTTGCAGAGAACTTCATTATCACTTACAAATAAACAACAGTAAAGAAAATGTAAGAAAAATGCTACCTGACAGTTTCTTTCTCCATACAAGTCATTACATTATGCCCTTGACATCAACGCTATCGTTCTTGCTTGAGCCAAAACTAAATATTTAATATAGCTTTCAGCTGAACAAGAGATCACTCTAGTTATGGCTGGGGTGTTTCAGTTTGCAAAATGACAAAGAATTAAAATAATTAATAAATAAAGTATCAGTTCAGACAACAGAACACATGATTTATCTAAGGTCCAAGCCCCAAAAATCCAGTGAAGAAATCTGTCAGTATCCAATAAACTGCAAGAACATATCTAACATTGGATTTTTTTTTTTAACATTGAAAATGGTGTCCAAGCTCTAAAGCAATGCTGATATGCACCTTGTTTTATGCCCATGAATGTTCTGCAGCAAGTTTTTTTGGTTTTTTTGCAAAGCAGTATCAGCAAACAGAAGCAATTGCACCATAAACATGAGTAACCTCTAAATTATCCATAATTATATTTAATGAAAAGTTCCTTAAAGTCCCTTAGTTACCTTCAAATGACATAGTGTTAATAATTAGCTTATCATACTAAGCTGATTTCTCAGCGGCTTCAGTCTCCTGTTCAGATAGTTTCTCTTCTGACAGTACTGTCATCCATGGGGACACTGAGCGCGTGATGGTTTGTTTGGCCAGATTGTAGTGGTTTATGACTGTGTAAAATTTCCCTCGAGCACTGGAGTCTTGCTCGGAGTAGTAGTTTTCCAACCCAGCTGGAATGCATTGATTATTCTGAAAAGAAAATCCATCACTTAGATTACAGATACAGCCCCATACACACCGAAAGTAGGTTAGGGTTTTTTTTCTTTTCCTTTTAGTCTAAGCCAACATTCAATTTCTGTGAGTTAAGATGCAACATACAGCAATTAACTACAGTGTTGTCCTACTGTGTTCAAAATGTTCTTCCCTGCAATCCTTAAACTACTCCTGCATTTGCCAGGAAGCCCAATCTGGGTTTATATGCCAGAGTAATTAACATACAGAAACATGATTGCCTGAAATTATTTTTAAAAAAGGACTCAGTCTCTAGTTCCAGCCATATTTTGCTGTTTTTTCCTCCCCACCTAGTTCCAAATGTTTGGTCTACAATTACAGATGTCTGCATCCCACTGTTAGATTAGCTTCAGGCACTTTAATACTGTGGTTTCAGTCTGAGGGACAGAAATTAATACAGATATATCGGTGCCAAGGTATGAACAGTTTTACAGCCCAGTAAACAAGTCATACAGGGAACACATTGTGGGTGGCCAAGCTTATGTGCAAGTGTGTACACACACAGAAAATACTTCAGTCTTGGTTGTCAGAAAGATGTAGCCAACAGCAGGCTTTTAAAAAGCTATCTTTAGCTGTGGGACTACATTATTTAATCTCCTAGAAGTGTAAGAGCACAACATAGAAACTGCTAGATGCTCAGAGCTTTTGAAAGTGAAATACCTGATTTAGAGAGTTAAATACTAAGGAGGATCCAAACTTTGCTGTCATCTTAAAAACCAAAGTGAATGTGCACGTGCAGTGCATTAGTCAGCAGTTATCCTCTAGCAACCGTTCCAGTGATGATGCAGTAACAGTCAACGAAGCAGCTAGTTGCACTGAAGGAAAAAATTGACTTAGACATATCCTGTGACCCCCCCCCAGGTTTTGCTTCAGAAGGTCATGGGTCTCTCCGCAGGTCCTCTGCCATCTCTGCCAGTCCAGACAGTCTTGCCTGATACCTCAGACTGCTGGGGTAGTCATCTGCGCAACTAAATTGACCCTCTAAAATACAAGCTATAAGTAGCTGCAGCTTGAGGAAAAATAATAATTTCTACTCTGACTATTGTAAAAAGAAACAGGCTGTTCGGTCTTCCTGCTTCCAGCACCGCAAGACCAACATTTATAATACTACAGCACAGCAACTTTGAACTGTTACTGTTCTCATAGAACTTAGCAAATGAAACTTTAATATTGGAAATTTCTGAGCACAAAAACACATGCAAAAATGTCATGGTTTTTAGGACCAGATGGTATCTATCTTATCTTAAATGTGTCCACATTTACTTTTGGGTTGACTCTTGTCCTTGTTAGACCAAAAAAAAAAAAAACCAACAAAAAAACCCAAACAACCAAAAGTGGCATAAATAAGCACCACTAACAACAGTTTCAAATGGTTTAAATCATAAAGCTCAAAATGACTGGGGGAAAGATCCAGCAGACAGTCTTGGCCGAATATAAATTTTGCATCCTAAAAATGTTAGACTGAAAAAAAGCATCAAAAGGTATGAAAGAAAAAAGCAAGACTTGCCAAAACAACAGGCCTACAGGTAGTCTTATGAACCTGCCTGCCCCCAGAGAATACAACCCTGTGGCAAATTTGACTGCTGAAAAGAACAGTCGCTGTCACAAGACTAACAGTCCTCCCACGGAGCTAACACCTCATCAGCTCTAACCTGCTTGTGTGACAGAAGCCTCGATGTGTGTCAGACTTGCAATAGTGCTTAAAGTTACCACATCCACCCAGGTTCAGTTTATTTGTTACCTTTTGTTAACGTAACAACCAGGGCAAATCTTCCCTCACAGTTTTGTTTGAAGTAGCACTAGAAATCAGATGGGATTTAACCCCGGCTAAGAAGACACTTGTGCCTATTCAGCACTGTTTAAGTCAACAGAGGTTTCCCCATGGTCATAATCATTGTATATGCCAGCTGCAAGCCTGGGACATAGATTTTTAAAAAAAATAATAGTCCAGGAATCTGGAATACAGCTATTTGATACGCATGTTCACCTACAACAACCATGCCGTCTTCTAGAAGTATCGTCCATGCTTTATCTGGGCTAACTGACACTACTTCTGATGTGATAAAATGACTAAGTACATAGACACAGACATTTTTCTAGTGATTATTTCACCTAGTCATGGGATGTAGTCACAATTCTAAATATTTAAAATGGGGGAAGGAACACAATCCATTGATCTAATGAAATCTGCCAAGGAAATTGAAGCAAATATAATTATTAGCACTGAAGACAAGCCAAGATTACTGCCAGTCTAAAAAAACCACCACAGAATCTTGTGTTGCTTTTAGAAGCAATTTGCTTTGTAACAGGCAAAATGACTCAGTAATGTTATTTTTTGTAGTTACAAACACACACAACATCTGACAAGAGCCTAAAGAAACACATAGCAGAGTTTCCATCTTGACTGCATTTTTGCTCCCAGGATTTCATGCTTCTAGAAAAGACAGGAAAAACTTCCCCTATTACTCATTGTTCCTTGTGTACTGCCCAAGGACAGCCCCCCTTTCCTTAGCTCTTAATCAAGGCAAGCCATGCAGCACTCAGGAGTGACTGAGCGATGGGAACTGGTGCCGATTCTCACCCTGCCACTTGCCTGAGACCTTCAGCTTATGCAGAACATTCCTCTCTGTCCTTTTTATTTGTTTCCGTGGTTCCCAGGTGAGAGAAGTAATAAGGAAGGCCATGAGGAGACACTGGGATGCTCCAGAGTGAGTTGCTAGTCTCTTGTTTCTTTCACAACCCTTCTATTTCAGAAATTGATTATGGGTTAAGGCCTTTGATGCCAGAGAAAATCCTGGTTGCCAGTCTGTATCTGGCTGTATTAAGATGACTCCTTTGTTCCCTTGACATAAAGACCCCAGTGGTATTCACTTATAAATAGTATCTTCTGTCACATTAACTTTGCTGGGTCAGTAGTTCCAAACTCAATAGATGATGGTGTTGTCTGTAATGCATTGAAATTACTTTGTTGTACTGTCCATGAGTCTGACAGAATGCAGGTGCCTTGGCAACGAAAGCTAAAGGGTAACAGATGCAGTATGGAGCATACAGCATACTGAAGCCCTGGAGAAATTCCTCCAGGATCCAAGTGCACTCAGGTCTTTGAGAAAAACTCTGGTGAGTCTCACCAACAGCCAGTAAAGGGTGCTTCAGAGGAGTGATCTACACAACAGCAGTATTAGGGCTGTGTCAGAAAGCTTGAGCAAGCACAAAATTGAGGCTCGAGCAGTTTAAGATTGCTATACAAAGGAAAATAAGCACCTTTTTAAGCACACCTTCAAGCCGTGGATGTGTAGGACAGCAGTAAGGCTGAAAACACTGAAACCTTTGGAACCGCTCCATGTATGAGAGCATCAAAGCAGAGAAGAGTGAGTCTGACTCACAGCTGTGGTAGCTCAGCCTTTATGCAGAGATTCCCATGGTACCAGGCTTCCTGAGGCAGGGGACACCTTTGCCCTTATCCAGAAAAATCACATCAGCATCCAAAGCCAGAGGACATCCAGGCCAGAGA